AATTGACGCCTAACGCATAGGGCAGTCGTGTAACGCATTAAGATAAAAGAGAGTTACATGTTTTAAAGAAATGTTCCACGCCTCAAGAAATCGTTCCACCTACAAGGGAAACGTCCCATGCATAAAGAAATCGCCCTGGTCAAGAAAAAGTCCAATTAAGAAAACGTACCCAAATAGGAGAGGACCCAGGGAACCTTTGGGGACGCCTGGCTAACTTAGGTCCTGGAGGTGACCTTGTCTCTTGGGCGAATGACCTCGTATGCCCCCCCTCCAACCGGATCTCCACGGCTTCTCTCTCTCTCTCTCTCTCTCTCTCTCTCTCTCTCTCTCACAGTGATTCTCCCCCCCCCTCTCTCTCTCTCTCATTTCCCCCTCTCTCTCTGATTTCCCTCTCTCTGTGTATCTCTGTCTTGCACCCGTTTTCTCTCATCTGTGTTTCAGTCGACCACTCACTCACTCACTCTCTTTATTTATCCTTATAACACTTTCTTTATGCCTCTCTTTTTTATGTATCTTATTATCTATATATCTATATTTATGTCTCTCTCTCTCTCTCTCTCTCTCTCTCTCTCTCTCTCTCTCTCTCTCACACACAATACTTCTCAACCAACCAAGCATGTATTCAATTACACAAAAAGTTTCCTCACTTTGTATTCCTTTCTCTCTCTTTCTCTGTCTGTCTGTCTGTCTGTCTGTCTGTCTGTCCGTCCGTCCTTTCTCTCTCTCTCTCGAACAAGTATAACCGGTGGTAGGCGCTGTAGTGGGTGTCGCAGATGAAAGATATATTCCGAAGTAGGCGGTCAGGTCAGGAGTGGTCAGGTCAGGAGTGGTCAGGTCAGGAGTGGTCAGGTCAGGAGTATGCTAGGTTGAGGTACAGTGGGTAGAGTATCATGTGTATGGTGTATGGGATATGAAAGAGTATTGGGAAGTATGGTATAGTGTTGTGGTGGTGTGAAGGTGTTGTGTGTAGTGGTGGTATGGTGTTGTTGTGGTGATGGTGTTTTATAGTGGTGGTGTAGTGTCTCGGTAGTGGTGTGGTAATAACGTAGCAGTTTGGATAGTGTGGTGTAGGGGGGTGAGATATGGAAGAGGATTGGGAGAATGGTATGGTGTTGTGGTAGTGTTGTTGTGGTGCAGTAGTAGTAGTAGTAGTAGTAGTAGTAGTAGTAGTAGTAAAATCAGGTTCTCCACACACACACACACACACACACCAGCTCTTTTCATGGCAATTTTTTTTTTATACATAAGTCCAACGCTTTAGTTTGATTAGTTTAAGCTCACAACACAAGAGAATTTGTTCTGTCGTAAACCCACAGCACGAGAGAGAGATCACCTGGTACACCTGAAGAAGCTAAGTATTACCTGATCAGTCTCCCCCCCAAAAAAACAATATATTTATTGCGTCTTATTGTTCGTCGTGAAGGTTGAAGTACTGTACGTCTGAGCTGGTTGTACACGCTGATACACACACACACACACACACACACACGCACACACACACACACGCACACGCACACACACACACACACACACACACTCTCACACACACACACACACACACACACACACACACACTCATTTTACTTGTTATTCCTCTGTCTGTTCTTCTGTCCATCTTCCTGTCAATCTATTTGTCTTGTTCCTCTCCATCACTCCCTATCCGTCTTCTCTCCGTCCCTGTCTCTCCCTCCATCCATCCTTCTCCCTGCCCCCCCCTTCCTTCTTCTCCCTTCTTCTTTATCCTTGTCTTCCTTCCCTCCATCCCTCCAATCTCTCTTATTCCTCCATAATTCCCTCTCCCCCAATCTTTCTCTGTCTTCCTCCCTCCTCCTTCCTTTTCATTCTTCCTTTCACATCCAACCTCCTTTCATCCCTCCCTCCCTCCATCCTCCTCCCTCCCTCCCTCCATCCCTCCTTCCCTCCCTCCTCCCTCCTCCCTCCCTCCCTCCTTCCCTCCCTCCTTCCCTCCCTCCCTCCTTCACACAATAAAAACTTCTTTATCACTAGCACATAGGCCCAACACCTTGACAATACCATAGGCCTATCACCTCCTCAGGCCTACTACACACCCACACCTATAAATAGAACCACCTGGTCTGACTCATGATATAATGAGCTATTGGGACATAATTAATGCTGATTGAATGACGATAATAATAATGATGATGATAATAATAACGATAATAATAATAATAATAATAATAATAATAATAATAATAATAATAATAATAATAATAATAACGATGATGATGATGATAATAACGATAATAATAATAATAATAATAATAATAATAATAATAATAATAATAATAATAATAATAACAACAATAATAATAATAGTAATAATATTAATAGTAGTAACAATAGCCATAATAATAATAGTAATAATAGTAATAATATTAATAGTAGTAACAATAGTAATAATAACTAATAATAGTAATGGTAGTAACAATAGTAATAATAATAGTAATAGTTATACTAATAGTTACCCAGAATGAAAACAAGTACTAAGAAAAGTTACTTGATAAACGGCTATAACTTTCATTCCCTCTCACTTTCTTTCTCTCTCTCTCTCTCTCTCTCTCTCTCTCTCTCTCTCTCTCTCTCTCTCTCTCAGATAACTAATTACAGTGTCTGAAAAATTAATTAATTAAAACAAAATTACCACAAATTATATAAATACAAAAATTCTAATCGACTCTTATAAAGTTTGAACAAGTTTGGTAAATAAATTGTGACGAGAAAACTACTTAGACTTTTATTAAATAATTATGAATGCTGGAACTTTCATTTCTTGTTAATTTGTTATGATAATGAATGAGTTTTGTTGATAAATATGAATAATAAAAATAATCGCCGGTTTTATTTATTTATTATTTTTTGTAATTTGTGACGAAGAAAAGTTTTATTATTATTATTTTTTTTTTATAAATTTGAATAGTCGAAGGGGAAGGGAGGAGGAGGGTAGGATAGTAGAGTCAGTTAACCTCAGTTCATTTAGTTATTACCTCCAGTGTGTAGTTCGTCCCTGTGTTCATAGATGGGGGTTGAGATCCTAGCTCTTGTGTTCATGTACAAATGGCGTAAGTGTAGTAAACATCCATTTATAAGGAAAGACAATATAGAGAAATAGACTATACTCATTTAGATAGTCTTAGCAACGACCTCTTTGACCTGCTGTGACCTGTGACCTGTGACCTGTGCCCTTCCTCTGGGTCAAATTATGATCAGGGTTGATTTACTGTGTTCTGGGTTATTGATCCAAGAGTGTGGGTAAAGTTTCACCAAAGTTGATCCACTGGTTAGGGGGGTTTGTGTGTGTGTGTGAAAATATATACATACATACATACATACATACATACATACATACATACATACATACATACATACATACATACGCACATACATATTCACATACATACATACATACATACATACATAGATTCATAGATACATACACACATACATACATACATACATACATACATACATACATACATACATACATACATACATACATACATACATACATACAAAGTTGAATGAGGTCGTTGGCCCTAACTGGTTGTAACGCCTGAACACTACTACCACACACACACACACACACACACACACAAGGTCGAATAAGGTCGTTGGCCCTAACTGGTTGTAAGTGAACTCTACTACCACACACACACACACATACACACACCTCAGCTTACCCTTTTATTAGCGATATACCCTCTCCTTCCCCTCCTTGCCTCCCTCTACCCCCCACCTCTTCCACTCCTTCCTTTCTTCTCTCTCTCCTTTCTGACGCTTCCCTGAGATGTGAGGAGAAGGAGGGAGGAAGGGATAAGGGAAGAAAGGGGGGATGAAGGAGGGGAGGGGATGGGGGGAGGGGAGGGGAGGGGGGGTGGGCAAGAGGTAAACAGGTGGAGTTAGTTTCACCACCATCCACCACGTCTTTCATAAGGTGTGCGTGGCTAGCCTCGTCTTAGGTGAATGACCCCTAGACCTGGGCACTGGGCAGGTAGGTGGGTGGGTGTTGGTTCGTGGTGAGAAGATGGAAGAGGGGCTATTAGAATTAGTGAGGTGTCTTTGGTAGTGGTTGTAGTAGTAGTGGTGATAGTAGTAGTAGTAGTAATAGCAATAGTAGTAATAGCAGTAGTAGTAATAGCAGTAGTAGTAACAGCAGTAGTAGAATTAAACATGCATTTACAATAGCCAGTTAGGAATGTCTAGTATTAAATGAATGTTATAAAACTGTCGTGAATAACTTTCAATTCACTAAAAAAAATTGTATTGTCCGTTCAAAGATGTTCAAAAGTCAACACAAGTGCTCGTAATGTTCATACAGACTTAAAACTCAACATTTGTAAATATATTTTTATCATTTGTAGAAAATTTTAAACTGGACGTCAGAATCCACTCGAAATTATTCAGTCTAAATTCTATGTGAATATTGTATATTAATTATCAAATAAAAATTGTCCAAATTTCAGAATGTCGTAATTATATAATTCTTGTGATTTTACACGATCATTTTAACGAGAAAGAAGAATAATTCACGTTATATATATCCCATTATAGGAGTCATGTGTGTTGGAGTCATGAATTGGTCTGCTGTGATTGGCTGAGGGGGCTTCGTGGACTGGGGTCCCGTGGATGTGATTGGTGGAACTACATCCCAAGCCTCCCCTCCGTAACGTGATTGGTCGACGCTGAGACAGTTTCCCCGCGATCCTGTTAACATAGTTTGTGATATTTTATTTTAAGTATTTAAATAAATAAAAAATTTAATATATGATTTAAGGGTAAGATTGTAAAGTGATTTTGGTGGTTTTAGTTATATAAGTGAGGGATATTGATAAAATGGAGAGATAAGGAGGGTAGTGGAGATGTACACGGGGCGGGGTATGGCGAGGCGGGGCACAGCGGGGCTGGGGCAAGGGGTCCTAGGAGAGCCCCGTTTTAAGGGAGAGATGAGGTTGGGAGGGTCGCTACCGCCCAGGGTCAGTCAGTGTCCGCGCCTCACCTCCGACGCACGTCAACAGCGTCGTCGCCTGCGTCTTCGTGTTCCCTGCTGAGATAGTTGGAGCTTCAACCTTTGTGTGTTGGCTCTTAGATCACAGCACTTGAGGTGAGTCCCCCCCTACTGATACTCTCTTCCTTCTGCAGCAGTTGTTCCCCCTTTCTCTCACCTTTTTAATGTTACGCCTTCTGCAGCAGTACTCGCCGGGCTAGTTACTCGTGCAGCAACTGTTAACCTGAGCCCTGGGTCGTATGTATATTTTTTACCATTGTTTTTAAGAATTAGAATTATTAAAACTAACTAGTATTTAAGAGCAATAAAAATCTGTGTAAAACATATATCTTAAATAACTAAACGGTACCACAGTTATTTGTTGGGTCCCGTTAAACAGATGGGATCAACAAACAGTAAATTGACGGTCGATTCTGAATACTAAACAGGAGAGAAATTCAATTCGTTAAAACACTATGTATGTGTATATATTACGAAGGGGGTTACCGTTGTTCCCGTTTATAAACAGATGGAGATAACAGGGAGGGTGGCCGTCTTGTATCGTAGGAGAGAATATGGTGGTTTATGACTGTTTACCCTTCGTCCCTCCGTCTATATCGGTCTATAATGCTTCCGGTTAGCGCCAGGGGTTCCACAAGGCTGGTATCCTCAGCGGTTTACGTAGGAATTTGATAGGACCTATATAGAGGGGACGTCCTTGAAGCTGTTATCTCTAATAGGATTTTCGAAGGACCTTATTTTAACCCCCCTCCCTCCTGGATGACACTGGTATAGGATCAAACCCTTTATATTGTATATTGGATAGGATCTAATCCCCTTATAGTGAACATTGGGTAGGACTCGTTAAAAGGATACTAGGGCGACTGTCTTTAGGGAGTTCAAGGGGTAAGAGGACCTTATCGTATTTAGGGCTAGTCAGTTTATGTACTGTGGGGTGATGAGGATAGAGAGATAATGAATGGAGAAAACTGGAGAGAGAGAGAGAGAGAGAGAGAGAGAGAGAGAGAGAGAGAGAGAGAGATTGGTAGACGGAGATAGAGATAATAAATGGAGAGAGGAAAACACGATAGATAGAGAGAGAGAGAGAGAGAGAGAGAAGCTGGGTGAAGTTTGCCGCTAGAAATTTCAAGTTCAAGGTTACACTGGCCTTCTCCGACCGCACGACCAACACACACACACACACACACACTCTATGAATGGACCAGCCTGCTTGCTTCGCGTACTACATTTACACGATTTGCTATATTTGTATTCTACACAATTTACAACTGAAAATAGCTCCTACTGTTTTATAATATGTCTATTTTGCTCAATTTACAAAGGAAAATCTCGTTTACTCTCTTTTACAATGGTACTAGGTCTGTATTTACACTTGATAATCGCCTCTGCTTTCATTTGCATTATTTTCATTTTTTACACGTAATGATTCTATATCTTCACTCTTCTCTTTGCTAGTGTTTTACAAAGGTTCATTCCTGTTTATGTATACATGATTTACAGCTCCTGGTCCCTAATATCTCCATTTACAACATTTACAACGCTATAAGGGTATTTAAGATGAATAACATTTACATAAGCTCATTTACGATTTTTACAACGATACATATCATATGAATTTTTACAAAGGCCCCTCTACCACTCATATATAAAACCACTATGTTATCTTTCACGAATTGCAAAGGTTATAGATTACAAAGGTGTATTAATTATCCACTGGTCCATTAAAATATTACCCTTTAATTCCTTGTGTCAGGGGATATAACAAAGGGGGAAGGGAGGGAGGGAGGGGGAAGGGAGGGAGGGGGGTAGATGGAGTTTTTAGGAGGGGGGGGAGGGAGGAAGAGTGTGTTAAGTAATATTGGATGACTCCCTCACCCCCTCTCCCTCTCACCCCCCCACCCCTCCCACCCCTCCCACCCCTCCCACCCCTTGTCTTAATAACAGAGACGAGAGAAAATTTACCCAACAAAGTCCAAATAATTCTGAACAATACACGTCGCAAGTCCAAAAATGATACACTCAATTACAAAATTACTTCCATACCAACAAGTCCAAAAGTCCAAGACAAAATTCCAACTGTAAAAACAAAAGTCCAGAAATAATACTCAAGTCCAAGACGAGACAAAACATACACTTTAAAATAATGCACTCGTAAGCCCAAAGTCCCTCGGCTGTTGGCCTCAATCTTTAGGTGTGACAGGTGGACTTGGCGCGCTGAGTTCAAGGTACGGACTCTGTGTGTGTGTGTGTGTGTGTGTGTGTGTGGACAGACAGGGAGTATTATAAACAAATATATTTCCACTTTTATTTTTTATCTCAAGTCAAATTATTCTTTCCATTAGTTACGTTTAGTCACTTCAATTTATCGCCTTTCCTGACCTGTCTAATGTATAGCTTTCGCGTTTCAGGAATTATTATCTTTCCAAGTACAGCTGAACGAAGCTAAGGTCCACCTATTTACCATCTTACCTCAGCTAAAATTTTGTAGAATCTCTCGTAACATAAGTGAAAAAAAAACAAGTGGAGGTAATCTAAGCTAATAGAACCCTCTTGGGGATTAGATAGCTTGAATTTATTTGTATAGCTTTAATATTACGTCACTAGAATCCCCTTTAAAGATATTGACAGCTAAAGTTGAAGTTAGATTGAGTTGAATTGTCATGCTCTCTCTCTCCAGTGTCAAAAGATTGAAATAATTTTACAGCGTTTGGTACTTAATCCGGGGTTAATAAGCTAAATATACAAGTTTTATTAAATTCTAAATCTGTCCTCACAAGCTGTTCATAACATCAAAAAAAACGAGAATCACAAAAAGAAAAAGTCGTCCGTACCAATAAAACCAGAATTACCTGTGTGTGTGTGTGTGTGGTGTGTGTGTGTGTGTGTGCGTGTGTGTGTGTGTAAGGGAGGGAGAGATGCACGCTGGTGGCTGGGTAGTAGTGGGAGGGGGAGGAGAGACGGGGACGCACCTTAAGTATGTCAGTTCAACCTATACGAAAAACAACAAGTGAATAACCTCACCATTATGGGCCACACGTAACACCCACAGACGGCACCCACATGGCCACACGTAACACCCACAGACGGCACCCACATGGCCACACGTAACACCCACAGACGGCACCCACCGGTCACACGTAACACCCACAGACGGTACCCACGCACACGTAACACCCACAGACGGTACCCACATGGCCCATCGTAACACCCACAGACGGTACCCACATGGCCACATCGTACCCACAGACGGCACCCACATGGCCACACGTAACACCCACAGACGGTACCCACATGGCCACACGTAACACCCACAGACGGCACCCACATGGCCCACATGGCACACACGTAACACCCACAGACGGTACCCACATGGCCACACGTAACACCCACAGACGGTACCCACATGGCCCACGTAACACCCACAGACGGTTGTGGCCACACGTAACACCCACAGACGGCACCACACACGTAACACCCACAGACGGCACCCACATGGCCGTAACACCCACAGATGGTACCCACATGGCACGGACGGTACCCACATACACACAGTACATGGCCACACGTAACACCCACAGACGGCACCCACATGGCCACACGTAACACCCACAGACGGCACCCACATGGCCACACGCAACACCCACAGACGGCACATGGTCACACATGGCCACATCGTAACACCCACACACGGTACCCACATGGTCACACGTAACACCCACACATGGTACCCACATGGCCACACGTAACACCCACAGACGGCACCCACATGGCCACACGTAACACCCACAGACGGCACCCACATGGCCACATCCACAGACGGTACCCACATGGCCACACGTAACACCCACAGACGGTACCCACATGGCCACACGTAACACCCACAGACGGCACCCACATGGCCACACGTAACACCCACAGACGGCACCCACATGGCCACACGTAACACCCACAGACGGCACCCACATGGCCACACGTAACACCCACAGACGTACCCACATGGCCACACGTAACACCCACAGACGGCACCCACATGGTCACACGTAACACCACACACGGTACCCACATGGCCACACGCACACCCACAGACGGCACCCACATGGTCACACGTAACACCCACAGACGGTACCCACATGGCCACACGTAACACCCACACAGACGGCACCCACACGCAACACCCACACACGGTACCCACATGTCCTTCCACCCTAAAAAAAAAAAAAAAAAAAAAAAAAAATAATAAATAATAATCCCGCCCCAACGTCTAACTATATTTTAAGTAAATAAACCAAAATCCTTGGCTGTTTAAGGAGCCAGTTTAATAACGAATAAGTTTTTTGTGTGTAAATTAGAACCTGTAGAGACGAACCATTGTGAGAAAGAGATGCACGTTTGTGAAATTTATGTGTGTGTGTGTGTGTGTGTGTGTGTGTGTGTGTGTGTGTTGGGGAGGAATGCCCTGGTTTCAACGGCGGTAGGACGAGTTAGTGACCTCTTAGTGTCTTCCTTACATCACCTGTTACGCCACTGTCAGCACCCCTCCCCCACCCCACCCCCACCCATAGAGGCCGTCGTGGAGGCCAGACTACCTGAGAGAGAGAGAGAGAGAGAGAGAGAGAGAGAGAGAGAGAGAGAGAGAGATTGGTGGGTGAGCTCTACATTTGAAACACACACACACCTGAGAGAGACACGGGTTCATCCTAGCGATATAATGTGTCCTAAGAGAGAGCAAATGACTTGATGTTGTGTTGGTGCTGGGAAGACTACAAGTGTTGCTATTACTATGAGTATTTGTGCTATTATTACTACTATTATTACTACTTGTGCTACTATTTCTATTATCGCTACTACTACTACTTTCAGTCTCTTCTACCGCTACATTTACTAATCATTTTTACCTTTTTACTATTACTATTATTACTACAATCGTAATGAAAGTCAAAGAATGAATAGTATTATTATTAGTCGAGGAAGTAATAATGATAGTAGTAGAATAGTGGTACTCTTCACTGTCCTAGGTAGCTGTTGTTGTTGTGGCCAAGAAAATACTCTAGCCATTCCTTCCAAGTTTCGGATCACTACTTAACGTGTCATTGAAA